CGCAGCCGGAGGGCGTGGCTACAGCGCCATTCACTTGAATGGCCCGCCACACCCCCTCCTACCCCACTAAATAGTGGGCCTGCCGCAATGCGAGGCAGTGCATTCTGGCCAAAATCGGGCCGGAACGCACTGCATCTGGTGTGACTGAGCCCTTAGAAAGGGAACTGTTAATTGTTGTGTGTCAATCAATCTGCCCCATATCATGCATCAATCCACGTACCCCATGTCTTTGGAGGTGTTTAAGAGCATTTTCGAGGTGCATAGAAATGCACTGCTCGCTGTGTCCAGAGTTGGCCTTTAACTGAGCACCCTCAGGATTTGGATTGCAAGAAAAAAACCTTCAAAAAAAGGTTTTAGGGGGGGTTTTTTTGGTTTTTTTTTTAACATCCAGCTGCTGTCCCCTTACTGCAATATAAAAATATGTTTACACAACTATAGTGTAAAGAAGAAAAAAAGGCTAACAATGGGGTAAATTTATCAAAACTGGAGCAGTAACCAATCAGTTTCTATCTTCAGAGGTTCGGGGAGACATCAAGATGACTGAAAGTCAGTTTGGTGTCACCTCCTCTAAAAGGTCAGGCACATGGTCATGGACCGAGAGCCTGACAGCTGCAAAAGAGAGGAGGGAACCCAGCAGCATATCTTATCCCACTGGAATAACATCCCCTCCTCTCTTTGTCAGAGTCCATCACCAAGATGACCACCGGCAATGAAGTGCACATGACATCATTATGCACATGTGTAATGACATCACGTGTATGCGTAACGATATGTGCACCGGGTGACACCCGCCAGTTTGTTTTAAAAAACTCCCCTCAATGTATGTATTGCTTTGTTATCTCAAGTAATGAATAAATAGAACCAAATTGGTCTGCTCCATAATAGGTATATAGGTACAAGAGCTGAAGTAGTTAAGTACTTGCTGTAACCTATTACTTTACACTCACCTTGCATTCTTTATTGCTTCTACCCATTCATCACATTGTTCCTGGTTACTGCATTCAAACAGATATTTCCGGTCTGGCTCATCAATGAAATCTGAGAACAAAAAGATAAATAGATAGACTTTTTAGACCAAAGCAAGCACATCTAGAGTAGTCAAGGAATGAACCCTGTCACTTGTCTGAATAAAGGTTAAAAGAAATTAGCATTATTAAATGAATAATCAAAACACAATATGAACATACAGTATTGGAAGGAACATACAGTGCTCATGGAGAACAACTATTGATGTGCCTCATTAAACAGGAGGCAACCATGTCTTTCTTTTATGTAATGCTGAGGTAAGGATAGATACCTCCTAGGCAGCAGGTAGTCCAGGCTTGGAAAATAAAGAAAAATGACATCAGTTGCCTATCATTTGTGATCCTTTTTTGCTTTTACTGTGAATATTCTCCGACTTCCTTGCCAGGAGAACAGTACTTGCCTGACTGCATTGTGCCAAGTGTAAAGTTTGGTGGAGGGGGGATTATGATGTGGGGGTGTTCCTCAGGGGTTGGGCTTGGCCCCCTTAGTTCCAGTGAAGGGAACTCTTAAGGCATCAGCATACCAAGACATTTTGGACAATTTCATGCTCCCGATGAGTGATTTTGGGGTGGAGGAACTTAACTGGCCTGCACAGAGTCCTGACATCAACTCGATTGAACAACTTTAGGATGAATTAGAGTGAGCCAGGCCTTCTCGTCCAACATCAGTACATCATCAGTACCTGACCTCACAATTGTGCTTCTGAAAGAATGGTCAAACATTCCCATCGACACACTCCTAAACCTTGTGGACGCCTTCCCAGAAGAGTTGAAGCTGTTATAGCTGCAAAGGGCGGAGCCAACCCAATATTGAACCCTACGGACTAAGACTGGGATGCCATTAAAGTTCATGTGTATGTAAAGGCCAGCGTCCCAATACCTTTGGCAATATAGTGTATGTACATAGGGGCAGTCATATTTGCTTGTTCCATATGCACGGCCAGCTTCCTACCTGCTGTTGGTGGCCCTGTTAGCGTCACTTGACTCCACAAAAGTGGAATTTTCAATTGAGTTTTGTTAAAGGAGCTGGGTGGAGAATTATCTGATGAACAGTGACTGCATTCAATCAGCTGGAGGGGTAATCAGCAGCTGAATACAATAGCCGGCACGGGGAGTCCTTCATCCATACGTTTTAGTGCAGATGGGGGAATTGACTGATTTTTCTTGGGGGCTGAACAGGATAAATCCAAAAGGTGTATAGCTTTACTTGCTAAAGCTGCTGAGACAGTATCTCTCTGTGGAGCAACATGCTCTGGCTTCCTCAACCTTTAACAGCCTCTTCCATCAAAGCAGTGGCATACAATTTACTGTAGCTGCCCTTTAAAATGTTAGCTTTTGCTCCAATAGAAGCATTGGTTAGTCCCTATGAACTGATCAAGTGTGAACTGCATGAATGGAGCACCTTCTGGCGGCAAGTGTCAGTCCGCGGATTGCTAAAGCGAAGTAAGAAACCCCACTGGGTCGAGGTGTCACCAGTGGTGGAATTGCCAGTGTGACATCTGCCTTACAATGGAGTTCCAGAGTGCCAAATGCCAGCTGGGCCCGTCACAACTAACTTGTCCACAGGCGGGAAAGCCGCAATGTGACCGTTCCACAATACACACTGTATGAGCGTATGGTGACTTAGTGATCAACACTGTTGGCTTGCAATTGGGTGTTCTTGGTTACAATCCAAACAGGGGCATATGTCAGCATCCGTCTATATGTGTATTGGAGTAATATAATACATTTACAGGGTTAAAATGACAGTCAATATTTGCAATTACTTTTTCAAATTTGAAGCTGATATGAGTACAGCACGATGACAAATGATGACATCTCTTACAATGGATGCTGCTCCTTCATGTTTAAAGGTTTTAGTTTCCTGCAGAATCAGCCGGTCCCCTGAGCACTGGCCCTGAGATTCTGTTTTAGGGTGACTCCTTCCCCTTGCAGGGTCCTATGGAGCCACCCTTGTGTGTGTCCACAAACACACAACAACAAAACGTTTCCCAGCACACTCCCCAGCCAGCCTGCAAAAAAACCTGTCTAACTACTAAGGTTAAAACAGAGGTCTTCGTTGCACGTCTTCTGCAGAATATGTGGAAGCCGCACAGCCTCGTCAAGGCCCCTCTGTGTAATGCGGTCCTAACTCTAATCTATGAGAGCCGCCATCCTGGACCATATATAGCAAAGGAAAAAACACACAAACACACAGGTACAGCAAGGCAAGACGCTCCCCTGCACCCCTCTCCTTCTTCCCTTCTCCAAGCTAGTAGATGGAGATCTGCTGGAGAATGCTCTGTCCCTTGTGATCTTGTGCTGTACTGGAAGTTCAAGGAAACTGAGCTAAGAGAATTGGAGTAGAATTGTCTTAAATAGAATCCAGTATATAATGTATGCATATATACAGGGAACAAATCTGTATGATTCTGTGTTCAGTGGGGCCCGTGCACAGGGGGGCCCAGCCAGGCATCCCTCTGATGCCGTGTGGGCCGCCTGGGTCACTATGGCGTCTCGGGTGCTGGCTGTCACTGACATAGCTCAGCAGCAGCTGTGAAGGAGAACGTTCCCCCTCACAGCCGCTGCGGAGCTGTGTCAGTGACAGCCAGCAGATGCAGCAGAATAGGCCGGTTACACCGGCGTTTTCAGTAAAGGAGGCGGGGCCCGCCTAACAGCAACCCCGCCTCCTCTCAAATCACTGGCCAACGATCTAAGAGCAGGTGGGGCTAGTGATGTAAGAGGAGGCGGGGCCAGTCGATAGACGGAGGCATGGCCCTGGGACGGAAGAGGAGGCAGGGGCGTGTCGGCGGGGACCACGGAGGTGGACAACGCTGACAGGTAAGAGGCGTGCAGCCTGAGACCTTGCAGAGCCCACCATAGAGAGTCTATGGTGGGCTCTGCAAGTGGCATAACTAGCAATCAAGGGGCCCCATACAAAATGTTGCTAAGGGGCCCTGTGATTTCTAGTTACGCCCCTGTCTGTGTTGTACATTTTCCCAGTATGAGAACTACAGAGAGCAGTGCTAGGAATGTTTGGCCCTCACAGGGTCAGATTCAGTGCCATACAGAGAACAAGGCTACCATTAGAAGGAGAACTATGAGGTGAGTGAAAATCCCTCATCCTCATAGTTCGAGCCGATGTGCGACAATGAGACTGTCACAGGTCGGTTCAATAGAGCTGTAGCCCGCGATATACTGAGCTTTGGGTCACAGGAGGAGGCTAGTATATGTCCTCCCGTGACACTAAAGAGAACTATGGGGAAAAACACTTACCCATTAGTTCTCTTTTAACCACTGTCCAGATTCTGTCTGCTCCAGTTTTCATAAATTCCCCCCATATATTATGAAAATGCAGACAATACTGTACAGAAAAACTCACAGAGATGGAGGGCGATACAGCACATGGCGCCAATCAGGTGTACTGCAGTGCAAGGAGCATGCTTATAGACGGAGAGAGCAGAGAAATGGGCTCATCAGTCTGCTGCTTCTCCTTTCACTGTCCCATCACTATGAGGGGTGATGAGGGGTGAGGATTTTGCACCAGAAGGGCCCTCCCCTACCAGGCAGAACTGTGGGCTGTGTAAATCTCAGGACTGGATGGATAGAAATTCAGTGCAGTTTATACATTATGAGGGGAATTTATCAAAACTGGAGCAGGCAGAAACTGGAGCAGTTGTCCATGGCAACCAATCAGCATCTCTCTTCAGTTTGCTCAAGTTAAGATTTGAATCATGTATAAAGCCCCCCCCCCCCCCCCCCCCCCCCCCATGGTTTTTTTTTCATTACCACAATAAAAAAAGAAAATATGTACAAAATTATGATACAGCGACTTCAATATAAAGCTAAATTCTGCTTAAAATACATACACATCACAGTGCCACTTCTTTTTTTCCTGACAAGCTATCCTCTTTCGATGTATTGTGAAGCCGTCCTACCGTAGCTTGCAGAGAGAATATGGAGAAAGTTTAGACACAGATACATAAATTTACCGACCTGCGAAGAGCATCCTTCCCGTCAGCATCTCAGCTAGTATACAGCCGGCGGCCCACATGTCAATGGCTTTGGTATAATTGTTAGGGGAGAGGAGAAGATGGGGCGATCGATACCACTTAGTCACCAGTCCTTCTGAGAGGTAACCCTGGAACAAGACAAAACACAACCGTCAATCATCTGCCATTCCTAACGCTGCTTGTCTAGATAAAACAGCTCTACTTGTGGTGTAAAAGTGGACCTGTCATTAAGATACACATCACTGTTACCAAACCCCATAATTCTGACTATAAAAAATCATTCTTTCCATGAAGAGAATGCTGCTTGTGGGTCCCTGTATGTCTTAAAGCCCAACTAAGGGGTATGACTACATTACTTCTGCTTGGCACCACTTGTCAGTTTCATTAATTTGGTGAAGCACCAGCAGGTAACGAAGGCTCTTTTAAGGTCACAGCAGAGTAGTGAAGTCTTCTTTGCCCGCCGGGGGATTAGCTGAGTTAGTAAAACTGACAATGAGTACGGACCAGAAGGAAAGTCGCTGCAACCTGAAGTTGGTCATATGTGTTAACCCTCGGATGAGGGAGTCATTACAGGCTGCTCTGGCATTAAAACCACCAACCCCAATAGAAGGATGAGGAAGAAGGGAAATAGATTCTTCATAGAGACAACTGCTATATTACAAATAAATATATACAAATACACACACACACATATATATATATATACACATATACATATACAAGGCTTGAAAAATTGTTATGACTGGACTATCGGCCTTGCAATTTATGTTAAACATTTTTGGGGACAGATAGAGCTTTCTTTTGGAGGTATATAATCACCTTGGGGGGGGTATTTTTTACTACATAATGAAAAAAGTGCCGTAAATGTAAAAAAACTAAACGTTTTCTTACGTTATGTTATAAAACATTTATTCTTACCCATATTTTTGGTAAAACATGAAAGACGAGGTAACGTCGGGTAAATTGACACCAAACATGTTAAGCCTTAAAATTGCGTGCGCCCGCAAAATCGCAAAAAACGCCCATAGGCCCACAGGCTTGGTGCCAGATACCACAGCATACCTGTGGACGTGTCTATGTTCTATTGCAGACCTAGCCGTGGACAGCTGAGCCAGCCGCTAGTTCATACATAGTTAGTCAGGTTGAAAAGAGTCACAAGTCCATCGAGTTCAACCTAGTTCTGTTACAGTGCTGTCAGAAAACAGTGATCAATAACCAATCACCATGATTATCAATCATGTGATTACAATGTTGCTACTATTAAAGTGAAAGGCAGACTGTAAAAAGTCAAACATTAATTTTTTATTTTATTTACAAATTTTGCCCAACTATCGGCCTCTAAGAAAAAAAATGACCTGAGCAGGTTAATTATTAAACTAAAGTGGCAAATATATGTGTGAATATTTTTTAGGTGGGCAAATTAGTCATGCGGTTAACTGACGCAGACGCTGCTTAATTTGGCCTGGGCTTCTAGGCATCGATGACTGCGGTCACCAAAGGTTTAAAGTGCAGAAGAAGAGGACAAAGGTTCCAGCTGAGTCAAGCTCAGGGGGGGAAATGAATAAGGAATTCAGAAGCCAGGAGAATATTTTTAGGAGCCCCACTGACAACAACTGAAAGAAACCTTAAAAGTCAGGCACCAGCCGTAATTTTTAAGGAGCACTGGCGACCTGGCGCCTGGGATTTGTCCAGCACTGGTCTAGCTCCAACTATACATACGCGCCCCTGAGCACATTCGTTCCTATGACCGAAGTCATACTTGGGGGCTGCCATGAGTATGGACCGCACGTAGGAATCAAATCGTAGTAGGAGCTTAGATGTGACCCATATTGGCTCAACGTCCTCTGTAAAGCAAACACTTGTCAATGTGTGCATAAAATAGTCTATTATATAAAGCAGAACTTCAGCCAAACCTTTTTCAGTTTTGGATTGCATGTGGAAAGGGTTAGAACCTCTGTCAGAGTACCGGAGATACACTGCCATACTTCCTATCTCAGGGAAACAACAGGAAGTAAAAAGGAAATCTCTCCCATGGGAGGAGAAAATAAAAACTTTGACAATTGTCACCGCAACAGGTGTCCACCTCAGCACATTTATCCTCTACAACTGTTCCCATGACAACTGCATATTGTTTGTTTTTATTTTTCCTTAAAATGTGAACACTACATCAAAAATTATTTCAGATAAACTGTAAACTAATCACTTAAAGCATGTCCTTGCTATAGTTTCCTTTTAGAGAAAGGTCAAAAGAAATGATTTGCCTGACAATGAATCATAGGCGGAAGTTTCAATGGCAGTGTATTAGCGGGTGCTTTGTGAGAGTGTCACATTAAACCATGAATTGCCTCTCCTGCCCTCTGTGACGGGTCCACAGCGCCAACTATTCAGTTCATTAACACAGCGATTCTCATTAGTAAAATGAGTTCATTAGGATCGTCCTGCAGAGACGCCCCATGCAGCATCTTTTCAGTACGTCATCTGTCAAAATGTTAACGTTGGCAGATCACAATCCAGCAAAAGGAAACCAAAAAGTTGCAGAGAAAAGCAGCGAGGTAGACATTGCCCTATAGACTGACTGCAGTGCCCTTAAAGGAGAACTATGAGGTGAGTGCTTTTCACTCACCTCATAGTTCTAGCCGACCTGTGACAATGAGACTGTCACAGGTCGGCTCAGTAGATCGGGAGGTGAGCGAACACACACCGTCGCCCCGTGCCCTCTACACCCTGTCACGGCTCTCTGCCGTGACAGGGGAGGGGCTGGATTCTCCCCTCCCCGCTCCGATCCGCCAGCGCTGAGTGGCAGAACGGATGGGGGAGGGGGCGGGTACAGCTGGCTCTGCCTCTAGATAGGCAGAGCACGCTGTCAGTCACGCAACTGGGCGGATCCAGACATAATTGTCGGGATCTGCTTCAGCGTCTCAGTATACCGCAAGCAGCAGCTCGCGGTATACTGCGGCGTCTCAGTATACCGCGAGCTACAGCTTGCGGTATACTGAGCCTAGGGTGATGGGAGGACGCTAGTTTGTGTTCTCCCGTTACCCTTAGGAGAACTATGGGGAAAAGACTTAACCCCATAGTTCTCCTTTAAAGGGAATGTACAGTCCTTTTCTATGTTTAAAAGGAGTTGTAATGTGCCAGCATATCCTGTCCTGTTAGAACATCGGCATTGTAATAGGAATACATACTGGAGTTGTTTTTTATGATAATGCAATCAAAGCTTACTTGAACAAATCCCTTGTATGTAGGGAGCGCTGTCTTCCGTCTGCCCATCACTTCCAACAACTTCCTGGACTCCCAGTGTGCTTTGCGTCTCTGCTGAACCACTGTGCTCAACAAAAGTCAATTTTTCAATGATTTGCGGAGCACAATACAATATCTAGGTGACTAATCTAAAACTAGGAAAGGGACAGAGGGAAGATAATTGGGGGGAGGGGGAGGTGTGACGAGAGTGCAGGAGGTGGTAAAGTCGCAAATGAAGTAGGTAGAAGGTAATTCTCAATCCAGGGTTGCCAAATATTTATACATGGTATAGAAAAATTTCACTTCGATTTTTTTCATGGGAGTATAAATTGGGGAACCCTAGATCTGAGTTTTGTGAGATATAGGGGTTCATTTATAAAAGTGCTCCTAGGTGGCGCTGACGAGTATAGGAATTTTCATCTAGGGGCACTGGTGCTGTGTGCACTGCATCCCCTTCGCTATACCCCGGACAAAACTTTTATAGATAGACCCCTTAGAATGCTGCTCCTCCAGGCTTTAGCTAAAGTTTGCTTCATGGCTGTGAGAATATGAATTATGTATCGGAATTGTGGAGTAGTTAGGTCAGGAAGTCCCAGGTTCAGAAGCGCATAGATCACTTTTGGGCTACTATGGGGCCCAGTAATTTAGCATGTATGTCGAATACCTTGGACGAGGATTGTTTCGCCATAGGACCACCAAGTATGAAAGAAAGTGCCGGTCTGCCCACAACCATGGAAACATGCCAGGGAATAACCTGGTATATAAGCTGCCCTCCTTGAGGGTACCAACGAGTGAAGACTTTATTTCTAATGCCAAGAGTCTTACGCAAGCATGACTTCCATGTTGACCATATCTGGGCCCTATCCTTTTCCTCCGTACAGTCTCTTTAATTTGTTTTCGATAAACATGTAAAAGAGGTCAGCATGATGTACATAATCTTATCAAGATGTGCTAGCAGAACTGGCGTCCACATTGTGATTGGTAAGCCGTGCCATGATTGGTGCTCTGGGTATGTATATGTCATCCTAATAAATGAATGTTCAAATATTAGGACCTTGGGTATTGTATATTTTCTCTTTGAAATTACCTCCAAGCATTCTGGTAGTATATATTCCTCGATGCACTCCTGTGGTCCCATTGGGAAGGCTTTCATGTGAATGGGCTGCCAATATAGCTAATAGCCGTCTGCACACCACAACGCGAGGTGTGATGGTTTGGTTGTGTTGGGGACCCATACAAAATGAATTGCCAGCCTGAAAGACAACTTGGCCATATGTCATCTTGCAGAAGAACAAGGTGATGAAACGTAAACAGTTGCGCACCTCTGAGAACATAGGACAGGTAAAGGTCAGAGGCGTGCCATCATGTGACGCATTTCTTGCACAATCGATTAACTTGGTCACCTTTGTTCATAAGGCTGGTACAGGTATACATTATAAATTGGCTAGAAGATAGTACAGATAGCAATATCTGGATTCTGTAGATAAACATTCCTCTCTAGGTGACAGGTTTCACACAAAACAGAAAGAGAAGAGATATATCTCATCAATGGGGACTTAACCAACATTATTCTACGGGAGTTCAAACCCTCTTCCACTAGTTCTTACACCAAGGCCTCATTTACATGCCCTATTAGGTCCAGACACCAGAATTGGTGGATGTTTGCATCTGGAATCACAGGTATATACGGGCGGGAAGCCTGTACAAAGCAATAGCCAGTGCTGCAGCTGTCTGCATGTATCCGCACACCCAGCAGTTACCTGTGGCTAGGTATGGATGACCGACACTGGACATATAAATGTATATACATACATACATACATACATACATACATACATACATATATATATATATTTACATATACATACAAAGTGACGGCTAGCGCTCA